GAAAAGGTGAATACGATAAAGCATTAGAATATTATGAAAAAGCACTAGAAAATGAGATGAAGTCGTTACCACCACGTCACGCGTGGTTACAGTGCATTTCTATAATATATACGCCGATCCTTTATTTTGTCTTTTCTTTGGTCATTGGTGTTTTTTTCGTTTTATGTTTTTGTTATTATCATTTCCTTTGTATTGGTTTCTTTGATCTTGACTAAATTTTATATTGTCTTCTACTTTTGTCCTTGTTTTTATGCTGGTATATAAACATTTGTTTTTTTAAATAATAAATGAAGAGTCAGGAAAACGCGTACATCTTTAACTGTGTCTGTCTGTCTTGGTGAGCGAGAACCCTAATATTGGGCGACACTGACTTCATTCTAACATTTACAAGTACGGAAGGTCGAATGATGGATGTAATCATGCACTATGGGAAGAAGGGTGTGGAGTGGGTGCGAACCTTCTCATGATGCACAGCTGCACCACTCACACGCACATCCATCACAGCTCGCACCCACTATATCCTACACCCATGCCCACATCCATATCCATTCACCCTTACGCCCGAACACGCTCACACCCACAGCCACTCACACCTGCATCCATGGCTGCACTCGCACACCCCACAGCTACGCCCTGAAGTACCAGATCAACGAGTACTTGGTGAACAGGTGCCTATCGGACAAATACCTCGTGAAGAAGTATCAAGTTGTCCAGAGAGTTCGTGCAACTGCACCTGAATTGCGTGCGTGAAATATTTAGTTTTCATTATGGTGCAAAGAGCGAACTTTTACTAGGATGTGCGCCTTCTTGTGGCTGATTGCATGATTTTGTGCGGAAAAATCACTTTTTACGATCGTCTCTGTCCATATTTTAGATATGTAGAACATCGAGCACCGAGCAGTATTAAAGTTTTTTACTATAAAAGGACTGAATGTTACCGAAATTAGTAAGGAGCTGAGATCCGTTTATAGGGATCCTGCTCCAGTGTGCCACACCGTGGTACAATAGGTGGCTGAATTCAAGGATCCAACACGCGACGTTGAAGATACACCACGAAGGAGTCATCCAACGACCACAACCACTGATGAAAGTTGGGCATTCCAAACAACTATAGTCCACGAGATAATGAGCGATCACTTGTCATGCGCCAGGTCTGTATACGTTGCATACCGAAATTTCGTGAGTCCGCTTCAATACGCTAGCGGAGTGGAGTGCTATCAGGATGTACTGCAAGAAAGTGAATCGAACCGGCCAACTTTCTCAGTTGCATCGTATCCGTGGATGAGTCGTAGGCGTATCACTATGACTCGTTCAGTCGTCTGGAAGCGAAGGCCTGGAAGAAACTAGTAGAAGAGATGTCAACTCAATCCCATCAGCAGGCAAGGTCATACTGGTTATTTTGTGGAACAAACACGACGTGATGTTATCCTAGAAAAATGTTTCGGCAAAATTAGCTATCGAGTGCTACCTCTTCATGACAACGTGCTCGTTCACAAGAGTAATATTGTGCAGACTGCTATTCACCAGACTGGCTTCGCCAAATTGAATCATTCTGCCTATTTTTCGGATATTGCATCTACTAGTTACGACATTTTCCTACATTTGAAGGATTTTCTTCGTGGTAACAGTTCTTGCTTTGATGAACAAGTGATAACGATTGTTGAGAATCACTTGAGTAATCTTGATTCGGAATTTTTTTAATGGAATAAATAGTTTGGGTGATCATTGATAACGTATGGTTGCTAGCAAAGGTCAGTACATTTAATAAATGCAGCAGCTGTTATCCTGTGGTTTCGTAGTATTCGAGTTGCACGAACTTTTCAGACAACTTGATAACATCCTATCATGTAATGCCACTTACAACTGACTATGATATATGAAAAGATATTTACAAATATCTTTTTCTATATACTTGTTTGTATTTGTGATGCTATAATTTTTTGTAAACGGACAAAAAAAAACAAAAGATAAGATTCTCGGGATGTCAATGTACTGTTTTGTGTATCCATTAAAAAGATAATGTACTAGTAATTTGACCGACGAAAACAATAATATAACTAAGCGGAGAATATCGTTTCTGAAAGACTAGTCAGCTTCTAGTAGAAGCAACGTTTACCTTAAAACGATTTTTTATTGAAGTAAAGCAGGAACATTGAATCTATGCGTACAAAGTCTTTCATGATATGACAGATCGAATGATAAATCAAATAGGGAGAATCTGAAAAGCACACAAGAATACTTCTGATCGTTCATTCACTGGGAAAAATTAAATTCTTTTCCACCATAGAAGACTCACCTTAATTAATTAATTTCTTGCAAAATTACAATTTTGATTAGTATATTTACGTCGAAATATACGTGAATTTCAGTGTTTTGAGCTGAAAAATCTTTAGAGACTAAGTTCAACATGATTTCGGAGCTTTTAAAATTCTAAAAATCTCTTTCCAAACTCTCAAAATCTTTTTAGTGTTTTGAAAAATTCTTTTAATTAAAAATTATTAAAATCAATGAGATACAATAGAAGATCTGGGGTCTTCTATAGCAGCAAGGAGGTTACTTCATAAATTAAATTTCGTTTAAATAACACATCCAATTGGTATATTACGAATTTATCTATTTTACTCTATTCTTAAACTTATTTTTAAAGAATAAAGATTTTTTAAAATTTATTTTTTTTTTGATTTTTGTAAATATATTTCTTTCCTTTGTTGTCAAGGAACAATAATGATAAATTAACACCATTAGTCAATGATCAAGTGTTAGAATAAATAAATAAATAAAAAATTATGATATTCACAATCCAAACAAGATTCTCGAGATTCACACATACAATGTATTAGGTTTTCATTGTTAATAAAATAAAATTCAGAGGTTAGTTTTAAGCAAGTTTATCCAATATATCTCGAACTTGACTAAAAACAGCATCAGGCTCTAATTCCGAATCAATCTAAATTAAATAAAACAAATCAATTTTTTTAGTAGAATAAAATTTTTGTAAAAAATTACTTCTTCTAATTTATTTTTCTTTTCATATAAATCTAAAACAGGTATTGTTTCATTATGAAATGTTTTTAAACGTTTTTTAATTGTTTCTTCATTATCATCAACTCGATCTGATGTTTGTGCACGATGTAATAATCGTTTTGTCAATGTTACATCGTTTGCATTTATATAGAGAACAAGATCGCATGGAGCAATCTGTCAAACAAAGATAGTTCTTTTTGTTTAAATGTTCAAGAATAAAAAGAAGATTTTAACGAACTAATTCTTCAAATTTTTTTGCTTGAGCAACTTCACGTGGATAACCATCAATAAGAAATCCTTTTGATTTATCTGCATTTTTAATCATATTTTCTTTGAGTAAATCAAGTACAACTTCCTAAAACAAAACAAAGAATTTTTTTAAAAATAATTATACGAAAAAAGTGAATAACATACCATCGGTACTAATTTTCCTGCTGTCATCAAAGCATTAAGTTGTTCACCTCGTTCAGTTTTTGATTGAACAGCTGCACGAAGTAAATCTCTATGTAAATATTCATTTAAAAAGAAACTTTTTTTTCTTGTCTGCAAGGTGTTTGAAAAGTTCATCGTGAAGAAAAAAGGTGAATATCTTCTAAATAGTTTAAATGATCTATATATCAGATATCGAATGTAACTCTCTTCATTAACTCCCAAACACGAGCAATAAAATTCACTTCAGTATAGTGTTATCGATTTCTTTTTGTTTTCATGACTAATTCTTTTTCCACATATCTATTAGGGTCTTCGAATTTTATGTAGTATTAAGAGATGTCGATGTTTTGCACTATTGTAGTCGATATATGTGATAGAGTTATATTATTGGTATGGTGGGTGTTTGCTGTTTCGATTGCATGATCAACAGTGAGAGTTATAAATAAATATAGACTTGATTATTTATTACTCTCCTACATATTCTGATTCGTTAATTGAGATGACAACTGATTTTGAAAAATCTGACTGCAGTTAAGATCAGATAATTAAGATAGAATTCGACTGATCATACAAGTTAGTTTACTCTTTTTCCTAATATGTGTGTCTTTCTTCGAGAAGAAAATAACTATATCAGTGGTAAATATATTTTACTTATGACAATGAGGAATTGTATTCTTTTTTCGGTATAAATAGAATCCAGATTTTCTTATTCGTTTCGGTCTCTGTTATAGTATATCCTTTGAAGTTTTATTTCATATAATTTGGTTCATACCAAATATTCAAAATGACTACCATCGTTTAAAATATTTGAAAAAGTACTCGAAAAAGTTTATTTTCGTTATTCATTCTCATTTTGAATTCGAGACTCGATCTGAATACATGTTTTGTTAAGATTCGTTTTCTTTTTATATTTATCGATAAGCCATTTTAATGAAAGGCGCTTTCATCGGTAAAAAAGAACAGAATTCTCCTGATTCTTAATGTTCTATAATATTGATATCAAAGGTTGACGACTTCAACTTGGTCTTATAAATCTTTTTCGCGAAGTTATTACACATATTATATCTTGTATGGTTTAATCGAAAGATATTTAGTCACTTCTATCTTGAAGAGATTGACTGCTACTAAAAAATGTCGATTTTCAATATGTTACAGTATATTTTGTTAAATGGTACCACAGTTTTTCTTATTAATTAAATCTTCTACGTAATGACTATTTTTGTGATACCATCTTTAATAAATAATCAATCATGAAAACAGCCGATGTGGCAAGTACAGATGGCTTGAACACGCTTATAATAATAAGGGACACCATTTCGATTGAAATCTAATACTTTTCTAAGAGTTTAAAAATATTCATGAGGTAAACTATAAAAATAAATCAAGCATAAAACTGCAGTTAGAGCCCGTCTGATTAATGCTAGCCGAAAACGAGTATCTCCTATCTTCAGAACGACTATCTAAGTCCGAAAATTGTGGATCCGACGGGTCCTAACCGCGATTAATAGGTGGTTTGTACCAGAGATGTTCACGGTGCCAGCGGCAGACTTTTAGCCACAATGAATATCTCTGGTTCGTACAACACAGGACTTGAAAAATATTTCGGATACCTTCTACACTTGGCGTTTTTATACCAAATTCGACTTGCGTTGTTCGTTTCCAAATGATAAATGACTCAAATTTGGCCATAAACAAAACTAATTATTTGTATTCTAATATCTGTGAACATAAAAATTTCTCAGAAAATAATTTTGACTAAAAGATATTCTCGTTTGTTTTTTTACGACAAACTTTTATGACACTTTGTATATTCATATCCAGTACTCAAATGTGTATAACCATATCTTTGTACAATTCGTTCATATTGTGTACCTTTTCCAGAACCTATTATAATATTAATTCTTTAATGTTATACAAAAATGAAATAAAAACCTATCTGGCCCACCAACAACAAAAATAATTTTCTTATTTTTTAATTTGTCTAATGCAGGATCTCTCGAACGAACTAAAAATAGAAATTTGAATGACATATATTTAATTTGAAAAATTATACATAAAATATGAATAAGATTAAATTGTTTTCTCTTGGATTCTCGAGATGAAGATCTTTTCTATTACGAATTCTTCTAGAAAGTATTCTTAGATACCGAAATGAACAAATGTGGTTAAATGAACCGAATACATTTACAGTATGATGAAGAAGGGAGAGGGTAAAGGAAAGGAGATACAAAAATACCGTTGATTCATGAATTATGATTGAAATCAATCTGAAAAAAACTAGGAATACTCGTTAGAAAATTCTCCACACATAGAAATTTATAAGAAAAAACTCTGATTGTTTACCTAATGGCTGTTGTTTTACTATTTTTCCTAATTCATATGATACATCTTCAAATATTTCATCTGGTTTTCGATTAGTATCGATTGTAATTAATTTTCCTTGTTTACCATAATAACCCAAAATAGGTTGTGTTTCTTGATGAAATGTTACTAAACGTTTTTCAATTGTTTCTTCATTATCATCAATTCGACCACTTGTTTCACCACGTTTTACTAATCGTTCAGTCATTATTTCATCAGATACATCAAAATAAATAAGAAAATCACATCGAGCTACATCTTGTTCAAATTGAATACCTATTATTTAATTAGCAAGGAGAAAAAAGCAACAAATATTTATTTGTTTTTGTCGTTTTACCTTGTTCAATCGACGAGGAAATCTATTAATTAAAAATCCTGAAGCTTTATTAGCATTTTTATAAATAGCATCCTTAAGCAACCCAAGAATATCTTTCTAGATACAAAAAATATTAAATATAACAAATGATGGAGGCACATAAGGATTTGTCTGGGTCCACTTAATTTGTCCGAGAAAGAAACGTGAAATTATCCAGTTCTGTTGTGCTTGAACTGACAAATCTAACCCTGTATCAATGTTGCCGTGAAGTCTTTAATTACGGGTACTTACAATGTTGAGTCAAAAATGAACGGAGAAGAACTCTTGAGCAGTCTAAATTGATGCATTTTCAGCTGATAGTTGATCTTGAGAGGCTAATATCTCATAAAATAAAAATAAACATATTGCCAAAATTTTAGCACTAATGACTATTTCAAATTAGAAGATCTTTGAGTATTGTTTGAATAACTTTTGATAGAAACAAGATAGAGACCTACTGTTTTCACCATTTGGAAGAGAGATATCGGGGACATCTATCCATACGAGATTCATTAGATTATTACACCGATATATTTTTTCACTGTCTTTTTTCATCATATTTCGCAATAATCTCAACTCAAATTGCATCAAAATGTGGAACAAACAACCATGTATTCACGGTAAAATTTACAGTTATTTTCATTCTTTTCTTGTCGATGTTTTTTATCGATGGAATCTTTCAAAAACGTTATAGTTTTACTGTGAATATATTGGGGTTTGTTCTATATTTTGATGTAATTTGAGTTGAGATTATTGCAAAATATGATGAAAAAAGACACTGAGAAAAATATCTGCGTAACGACGAACGTGAAAATACTCTGCGAACCTAATGAATTTTGTATGGATATTTGGATTGGTAAAAGTGGTCATGTTTTGACTGATATTTGTCAGATTCGTTAGTTTTCTAGTCAAAACAACTCACGAAGGAACATATCCAACTGTCGGATCGCTTTCGAGTTAAGAATAGGTGTATCTTGTAGAGCTCAGTGAGCTATGTCCACCATGAAAAGGGTCCGTGTCGATGGCCTATTTCTGAGAAGATCGAGTGTTTGTAGTTTTACAGCTGGAGATGTCGACAATATCTCAACTATATTGTATCAAAATGATCTCCAGTGTTGATAAAATCTTCAGCGTTTATAGAGCTTTTAATTCTAAGCATTCTCATGAAAAAAGTTTTTGAAAATGCTGTTATGTTGATGTAGATAGACTCAAAACACTTTAAGCAGTAAAAGTAAAAAAACTTTGAAAAAAAATTTTCTTGAGCTTTTCTAGGTTTTCACTGGTTAAAGTGTTTCAAGTCTATCTCCATCAACACAAAAGTGTTTTCAAAAACTTTTTTCATGAGAATGCTTAGAATTAAAAGCTCTATAAATGCTGAAGATTTTATCAACATTGGAGATCATTTTGATACAATATAGTTGAGATATTGTCGACATTTCCAGCTGTGAAACTACAAACATTCGATCTTCTGAGAAATAGGCCATGGGCATGAACCCTTCTCAGAGTGGACCTAGCTCACTGAGCTCAACAAGAAGCACCTATTTTTGACTCGAAAGCGGTCCGACAGTTCGATATGCTCCCTCGTGAGTATTGGGTCAAAAAATGAAATGTGACAAATTTTTTATCTAATTCTGGTTTGCATCAATTTAGTTGTCTTCGTTTACACAATGACGATCTCGACATAGCTTGGTTAACACAACACATCATTACTTGTCCTCTGATTTCGTTTTCAATCTTTATCAATGAGAGGAATGCAAGAAATAATAAAATAATAAATCTGCTCTCTTCAGCTATTCCTCTGCCAAGTCTTCGAATACTCAATATGAACTATTTCAAAATCATAATGAAACAAATAATATGAAAATTCAATATACATTACAATATCTCAAAATCGATGATTGTATCTATGGTCAATATTATTGTATTCTCGATTGATGCCCTCACTTACGAATATTGATCATGTCTAATTACATTATAGATGTTATTGACGATATGGTCTTAGCATATTCTACTCGTTTATTCTATAGACAATTAGATCTCAAATTATGTTCTGTAAGAACGATATTCGATTCAGTGTTCAATGGATATTTTTGGGAAGAATTCACTTCCATAAAACCACCTCTATCGAGGGTATGTGAGTGTCGGTAGAAGAGAGAATAGACGATTGGCTCCACCGCACATATCCACACCCTCAAGTCTTGAAACTCATCTGTAGGGCATATTTCTATATATATCTTATATTATAATTTTGATTAGTCTACTGATCATTTTCTAAACGTACATTTATCTTAAGATGCAATAATATCTCTACTTCAATAACCTCAGTCTGAGATTAAGCGAATCGACTGTCAATGAGCGTTACTTGTTCGAAATCTCAGAGAGAAAATTGAAAATTTGAAATATTTATTTCAATTGTAATTTTTTGCAAATGGTTGAAAATTTCAATATTTTGAAGTTGAACTATTTTTAAACTTGAGAATTAATTTATTTTACTGATTAGTCATACATACATGGTGAATAAAAGAAAAAAAAACAAACTATCGATTAATTTAGGTTTTTATATGAATTTTTTTATCGTGAATTTCATAATTGTTCGTTCGAAGCATTGCTTAATTTCATTGATGGTGTTACAATTATACTGGATTTTGAGATGATATTGGCAGATGCCAATATTTCAATGACTTGTCGTGTTGTTTCCTGTGAGTTACATAATGGTTTATTACAAGAAAATTCCAATCCTAAAGAAGATGATGTAAGTCGATACCAACGCAAAGCATGCGGTTTATGGCCTGATTTTGTTTGAAAACAACTGGAAATCTTCTTGCGCATATTATTAAAAGTATTCACACGGCAGACTCCGTTGGAACAAGCAACAGATTTGCCTGATTTATCATCTAAGCATATCAAATCGGTAGAAGTAGATGTTGAAGAATATAACAGATCAGATAATGCTTTCCAGATTGATATTGCTATAAACGAAGAAACTAAACATGAAAACAAAATAGAAAATGCTTTATATAAAATAATTTTGCTCGCAATATAACGGCGACATTTTAGTCGACAATCACTCTTTCTGCGAAAGATTATACAATATTAAAGGTAATTCATCTAAAAAAGAAATTGACTCACATTTTTCATGAAAGAGTTGTACCGGATGCACCGAACAATTTGTTGATTCAGAACAGTAAACACTTATTCCGCGTGTTACATAAAATTCATTGAACGCAATGGATAAACTTTCATGCACGGTGTCTCGGAGACCATCTAAATCAAGTAAATTCGCTGAAATACCATGAAAAACAGGATAAATCTGTTCTCCTTTATTTGTATAGATCACAGAGAGTGCACCATGGCATTGATCTCTCTCTTGCATTACACAATCATACATATGCTGTAGTAAATCACTTGTTATATTGTTATAATGAGCAGTCCAACAAGAAAGGCATGAAATTTTTGCATTGCTTGATTTTATAGTAGCGAAAAGAAGCAAGACTAGCAGAGAATCGACAACACGGATGATAAACTTCATCGGAATCGTGAAAAAAAAACTAAATGAAAGAACAATGATATTTTTTTCTTTAACAGGTAGATAACATAATAATGACTGCTTGTAAATGAACTGCAGGTTTACTAATCTAAACGAGATTACTCACATGAAACTTGTTGAGAATATGACCCTAGAGTAGTCTTGATAAAAATATTGTTGTGAGTATTTTAAATGTATTCAATAAATTTTTCCTAATTTAAAAGCGAGAATATTAGCCAAGGTGGCAATAACTAAAAAAAATAATAGTAACCGGTCAATGGTTAGGGTCGTATATGAAAAGATCAAAAAATAGATGCGACTGTGTAACCGAGTGAACTTAACTGGGTGAATAATCAGGTCATATCATATAGTGTGACCGCTTCACCTTTTGCCCGCTTTATGTTCAACGATAACTCGTTACTCTTTTCGTTAAAACTATTTTCTTTTTTAGAAACTGACATGCACAAAAAATAAACAGTATTATTTGATTCACATACAGATATGATGTGATGTTCTACGATAAATACTCAATAAAAGTCATATTTCTAATGCTACTGTTTTACTTGACGGAAAATAACAACAATCTACACTTGTATTACAGTACATTCTTATAACATATACCTCCATCCTCTTTGTTCTCTTTTCTTTGATCATTCTTTTGTTTGTCATATATCTTTGATATTATCATTTCGTTTCTATTCTTTTCTACGTTTGTCCTTGTTCTCATGTTACTTGAATGAAGCATGTCGAATGTATACAACCGTGAATGCATTCATCAAGATAGTAATAAAAAAATCCATAAGATAATGATCGATGGGTCAATCCTTCTATTTCAACCTGAATATCGTATAGAATCTATGTTGAGTTATGTATTTTTACTCTAGTTTACTAAAGAAACATGAACAACTTGGGGAAGTAATAAAGATTTATTGCTTCCCCTTGCGTTGCTAGTGCGTCGCCCATACCCACATCCACACTCTCAATGTATTTCAGTGTTGATTTCTATGGATTCTAATTAATTTTAATATGCGAATATATTTCAAGCGATTTTTCTCTGATGTTTAAATGTGAAAACGATAGATTTTACCGCAAATTGGTTGAAATCACATATATTGTCGAAGAAAATCGTGAATGTAGAATATTTTCATTAATAGATTTTCATAATCCTTTCGTATCTCTGGTAGATATTTGTCAGCAAAACACTTTCTCATATTTTAATCATTGCATGAGCATTAGTTCATCTAGAGAAAAAAAAACAAATAGATTTATCTATGTTTATTAGAATATCAAGATGACGAATAGATATAAAGATTAAATAAGTAAAATATTGATAGGATGTCCAGAAAGTAATTAAACAAAGAAAAACTTGAATATCTTCCATATGCTTTAATCAAATAAGTCGATTTTTTTCTAATAATAAAGGACAGTTTTAAGCTTTTATTTATAAATGAACAGTCGATTCATAGCCATAAAAGCAGCAAATTTTGTCCATTATATCATTAAAGAGTTTTGATGAAGGTTATTTACCATCAGCAAATAGTTCTGCTATGTGATTTTGTGTCAAAAACTAAATTACTTACTAAGTTTAACCTTTATCTCTTTTCCTTTTGAAAAACGCAGCAAACAGACTAACACAATTATATATATATATATATCAGTTATACTGTTTTGACAAAATATATAAAAGAATATCCTATAACATCGATCTATAGCTATGAGTTAAACACGCTGGTGCATTGTTTAGTAGTATAGTGAACAAAAGTCTGTTGGTTTCATGTGTATGAATAGATTCTTTATTCATGAGTAAAAGCTTAAAACTATCCTTTACTCTCACAAAAAAAAATCAGCTCATTTGATTGAAGCATGGGAAAGATATTCAAGTTTTTTTTCTTTATTTAGTTACTTTTCTGAACACTATAAAGAAAACAAAAACTTTTGATTAATAAAATACTAAAATTATTATTATCCATTGGATAAAACACTAAAA